TCCCGCGGAGTGGGGGTCCCATGGGCGGCTGAGGCCTGAGCCTGCACCTACGTCCCCCCCCCCTCCCATTTGCAACATTTGTTATGGGAGCGCAGCCCTACTTAAGTCTGACTTACCCTGACCTGACCCACGTATTGGTCCAGTGCAGCTACCGCGCGACTGTTTGGGGGGGGGGAGAGCACAACGGCGTAATCACAGGAGTAACCTCGGCAGGCGCTCCATTATAGATTAATCTGCTTCAGCATGGCAAGCATACACAGCAGACCGATCGTCTCCAGCATCTGTGTGTCTGAAATACGTTACTGCCGCTTGAACTTCAGTCTCTTCGAAGGCAGCGTAGGTGGAAGTGATTTAAATTTACTGCTTGGCTTTGACAAACTGTCTAGATTTTTGTACCGTAGGACAGCCTTTTAAGAATGACAACCTCGTTCGTCCCAATTTGTATGTTGAGGATATCATTGCGGCCGCAGAGCGAGTGCCTGAGTTGATAAAGGTCTGGCAGGCTTTGGAGGCCCAAGCACCCAGTTGGCGCCGACATCTCCACGATGTCCTGTTTCTGTGCTTTGACGGTTAAATAGAAGACAGGGGGCCCTGACCTGGCTGCTAGTCCATCCCAGCCGCGGATTTAAATGGAAAGTTGTCGGAAAGGATGGGGTCATGCATCCTAGCCTAGGAGATTCTTGCGACAGCCTGCAGACAGCAGAAATTTAATAGTTTCATAATATTGCCGGCAAACACAAGGGACACTGGAATGGTCATTTCTGACTTATGAGCCGTCGTCAGCCAGATAACAATGATTGAATAGTTTCTCGCTGTTTTCCACGCCTGGTCAGTCCCCCCGACACACCTACCCCAGCACTGTGAAAAAGGAAACTACAGATGGTTGAGGTGAGATCGCAGTTGTTATGGTATGGCTTACAATCCTCTCTATTCCGCGAAAAAATAGTATCAAATTATACTGAAATGCATTAACTTACCTTGTCGCAGTATATGTAGCAGTAGCCTATCGATTGCCTATACTCGCATAGCAACCTAAGCCTGACAGTTAGAGTCAGATACTAATTCGCATCTGGTTAGACAGGCGAAAGGTTCGTACACAATGAGTAGCCAAAATGGTGGCCAATGGGTGTATAAGGACATTTTGAAGTAAGGAAACATGGGATTTCAATGTACAGTAGTACCAAGGACATTTGTAGATGAGTGCAACGTAATGAATAAACAGAGGGCTGCTGGAATCTATTTCTATAAATAATAATACTAATAAATTGCCCTGCAGAATACCGTACATTACGCAGCATCTCCTTCCCTAGGTCGTTTCACACATGTTCTCGGGGTCTTCGTGAGCTCTATCCAAAGGAGCCGTCATACAGATTTTTGTTGAGAGCGATAGAATTACCAAAGCAGGTTCTCGTTTGTGAATAAGGCATTTTCTACATCCTACTTCTGAAAAATCCTGTGGCCTGACAGTATAACGTAAACTACTTACTGCAAAAATAAAATGCGGGGTGGATCATCAGAGCGATTAAATGTGAATGACACGAAAGAGTAAGAGATAGACGACACTGCCAGCACCATCACGAAAGCGGTTCACTTACTTGGCACTATTATCACTGAGCAGTTGTGCTTTTATCTTACATATTCAAATGCCTGAGCGGGTAGGGTATAATATGGTAAAAGCCCTTCAAATACCTATACTGTCACCGACTGATCTCATGAAATATTAAGTGAAATTTTGCTATGAGTTGTCGATATAAAAAGATTGCAATATCGGCTATCGTGCGATATAATCCCATTATATTTCAGACACATCAGAATTTCAGCAGTTCAATTTACATTTTTGCGAACGCCTTCAAAAATTACTTAATTAATATGCATCTATTCTGCTGAATTTCAATAGTCTTGTAAATTGAAATATATTTATATAGAAAACATGACCGAAAATGTTATTTTTTCTACTCATTTGAAAGTTGATCGCGTCTTCTTCAATTTTAAACTCGATAGAAGAGTATATTAAGATTTTTAAACGTTCAAATTATGAGGTGTTTTTAAGACCGTGCAATGTCCATTTAAATAGCATCGTGTGTATCCTCTCAGTAAGGTTCTTCACTAACTACCCAACATATCCCACATAGATCAGAAAATTTTATGAGCACCGTATGGTTTCTTCTTAAGTTCATAGACGAATATATGATTTTCTTTACACGCAATGGAGAGCGAAATCCCTAAACGCTGATACAAAGGTAGAGTAGACTTAAACATATTCGGGAATTGGAAAGTATTTTAAAAACCTTCCTTTGGGTGTACACAGTGCGTAAAACTGTAACTGCTGTCTCTCCAATGTAGGTAAAAGGAAACGTCACAATATCAAACAGCCAAAGGGAAAAGTGGAACCTAGAACCAACTGATTACACTACCTTAAATTCCACCAGTTGTTTCCCAAGACGCCGCCGCTCAATTTCAGCCTGGCGGTTTCGTTCAAAGGCCCCCTCCAACTCTCTATCCCGTTTTTCCTGCAGCAGTTTGCGAGCGCGCTCAACACGATCAGAGACATCGGTGGTCTC